TCTGGCAGCAATGGTTGTTGGTCTTCCGCAAACTGCAGTCGACCAGCCACGCCTTAACTTCCACGCCCCTTAACCCCCGCTTTCGAGTGGCCACCTGCACTGAAAATTCACACCACCCTGACACAAACGAGAACCCACAATTCAACAGCCTTAGGGCAAGTACGACCACACACCATCTCTCTCTCTTTCTCTCTGTTGCATTCGTGTGGCTTTTTTTTTTTTTTTTTTTTTTTTTTTTTTTTTTCCCTCTCCCTGTCTCTCTTCCTCTCTCTTTCTCTCTCTCTCTCTCTCTCTCTCTCTCTCTCCTATTCTGTATACATAGGACAAAGAAGAGGTGGGTGGAAAAATAGCCTATTATGTACATCTCTCTCTTTCTTTCTCTCGCACACACGTACACTCACCCACGTCTCTCTCTCATTCCTCTCTCGTTGCATGTTGGTGTATGTGTTTGTGTATATGTGTGCGAGAGAGAGGAAGTGAGAGCAGTTGGGCATGTAGTTTAACGTAAGTTGAACGCAAGAGAAGCAATGAGAAAGCCCTATGCATGTTTGTGTCTACTTGTTCAAAAAAAGCATCATGATATCAAATTTTAATATATATCAACAGTGTGACAACGCTCATATATCAACAAAGTTTGTTTGATGAAACAGTATGTGTAGGCCTATTCAACAGGTCGTACATACTTTCATTTTTTCGAAGGACTCTTCCTATATTTACATTGGATGTTCACTTTGATAGACACTAATTGGTTTTATGACAACGTCAACCAATAAATATTATATTTTTCACCAATTACACTGACAATAAAATGTCAACCTTGCGACAAACGATGCACTGTACTAAGTCGTAGGTCACGAGCCGGCCGCCCGGGTCACCGTGTTCCTTTCCTCCATTCTCATCTACTTTTGTTTTGCTCACAACTATAATCGCGTAAGCGCATTTTTCCCTCTCTGTTACGCTCTCATTCAAACTTGAGTGGAGTAGTGGCTAAATAGGGATGATTAGAGATTGAGAAATTTTGATGGGTGTACCACAACTTTGTGGGATTGCAAACCAGATAGTTGTAACATAGAGAAAAAAATGTGCGCCCGGATCACATTTTTCACCAATTGCACTACAATAAAACATCAACCTTGCAACTAACGTTGTACTACTAAATCGTAGCCTTAAGGATGTTCAGGCTAATGCTCCATAAATTTAGTCTCCCAGTCGTGCCGCCCGGATCACCTTGTTTGTCCGGTCCACCTGACCGTGTAAAGACCAAAGAAGATCCCTATAAAAAAAATAAAAATTGTCTAAGGTTCATATCGATTTTTTTTTTCAAATTTAATATGTAGAGATTAGGGTTACTCTCGTAGCCTAGCCAAAGATGCAGTTTGAGAATTTCCTTTAAGGAAATTCAAGCCTGTAAAACAAAATATAATTTATTTTTATTTTTTTTAACACGATATTATTTTCGTTGCATAGGACTTAATGTGAACGGGGCCATGTTTGAAGATTTTTAAATTAAACATCCCAACGTCAATGAATTCCCCGCAGAGGTAGCCACACGCGGTCGAGGCCACGGTTGAGACCTAGGCTATGGTCGTGAGCCGCAGTCATAAAGAAAAGAAAAGTTAAAAATTAATGAAAACAAATATGTTATGCAGAAAAATAAACTGAACAACTTTTGCCTTGGGGTCATATAAAAACACTTTATAGAATTTGAAAAAATATATCTATATATATTTTATTACAAAAAAAAAAATTGTTTTACGAAAAATTATTTTTAAATTTTTGAAATTCAAAGTTGAGGTTAAGGAAAAATAAAATTGCGCAATGTAGATCTCGAAAAAATCTACAACAGAATTTTATTTTTTTATTTTTTATTTTTATAATTTTTTAAGTCTAAAAAAAATTATGATAGTCGTGATTGCACCCAACCGCGGCCAGAACCATGGTGGCCGTGATCACGGCCGCCCGTCGAGTTTGACCTCGCGGCCGAGTCCGCGGGTGATATATAGCCCAACGTTCTTCCTTTCCCTGAAAGATCACTAAAACATATGGTGAGGGGATGTGGTGCAAATGAGCTTTGTCCCAGACCTCATATCTTATATTTTTTTTAAGATGATGATTGTTGTGAAATTAGTTTTATAAAGAGTTTTCAAACTCATAGGCTGTAGAGTCTCACAAATTACGATAATATAGATGAACTACTAAGGATTGGATCCTATATGTGAGTAGGGAGTTTCAATTAAATTATTTGCGATTTTTTTGCCAAATACTTATTATTTTTTGCTAATTAGTAATATCCTATATCGTTACGATTTTTAATATCTGCAAAGTTAATAGCAAAATTAATGATGTTTCATTAAACTTGCATGCATGATGCTCAAATACTTGGTTTTCCCACCCGGGTACCCCCCCCGCTGTTAGTCGGATTAGAGAGAAAACTTTTGGTGTTTCAACCATCTTATTCGGTGTTAACGACTCTCATCTTATACACCCATGTCCAACTGGCCCATTTTCATAACATTTTTCTAAATAATGGTCGTAACAATCAGCGTTCTTTCCTATAAAACCCCGCTCTCAAAGATGTCAAAAATATAAGAGTATGGGATCAAAATCTGAGTCTTTGCTCAAGATGGGTCGACCTAAAGTCCTAGACCCTACAATACATGGTGATTTGGCAGTTTGAAAAAGTTTGAAGATGACACAATGTCGCAGGAAGATAGAGGAGACCTCATCGTGGTATAATTTTTTCAGTCACTTTCTAACTAAAAGTTACTTGATATAAAAACAGACTACAGTGTTGAAATAAAAAATTATGGATCGAGTAGAAACGAAAATCCTTGTGTTTCTCTAGGATTGCTGCTAATGGTAAAATAGGAAAAGTATCTTCTTAAGTTGTGGGTTGTGTAGCACACTGAACATGTTCGACGCCCCACCGAGCAACCGAACATGTTCGGCCGCTCGACCAAGCGGGAACCGAATATGTTCGTCCGAGCTCAATTAGGGGGTTGTTGAGCGCGTCTTTATGTATGTGTCGTGTGTGAAGTGTGTGTGGTGTCTGTGAGATGTGTGGGTGTGGGTGTGTGTGGTGTGTGCGTGTGTGTATGTTCATGAGAGATGAGCAATGCCCCCAAGTGACCCCCAACCTCTCTCTATATATATAATAAAAAAATAAAATGTTCGGGCTGGGTCTATTTTGAGCCACGTTCAGGCTAGGTACCGAGCGTTTGGGTTCGCTCACCGAGCCTGAGTGCGATGCTTCGCATGTTGTGGGGTTTAGACGCAAGCTTAATTAATCTTTTGCGATGTCATTAATAGCATAAAAATTAACATGAATCTGGGGCTTGGAGGCTTTAGGGAGCACCCTCACATCGAGAGGCTTAACGAAATTCGTATACTTTTAAAATTGAAATATAAACTTGTTTATCGAGTCTGAATAAAGCTAGATTAATTAAGAAAATCAAAATATTTACAATTGGTTAGTTTGACAATGATTTCTTTACAACATCACCCTTTCAAAAAAAAAAAAAAAAAATGTTGTAGGCGTATATAATAAAACATCCCTATAAGATGTGGGTAAAGCGAAATACCACTCTGATATTTTTAAAACTTATGAATTGCCCTTCGATACTAGTTGGACCCATCGTAATTGCATTATACCTTTGGTACATATCAGGTTTTTTAAATGACCCCGGGCCAACGAACTTTTGAAATGCCCTACGGATTTTAAATTACCTCTACGCTATTTATTAAATTTTTGTTTTGCCTCTCTAACTGTTAGAGGTGGAAGTATGATTGATATCTCTCTCTCCCTCTGTAGCACACTATGATGCAAGTGCATTCGTTCATTTATGCAAAAAATACAAGAAGAAAGAGAGAGGATATAATACATGAATTTATACGTGTTTGCGAAAAGACGTAGAAAGTTACAATTTTGCATATTTTCGCAAAACCATCCACATTTAAGCATAATTTATATATCTGCAACTTTTCATAAACATATTTAGAGTGAAACTTAACATATTAGAAAAAGAGAAGATTCATGTGTTAAATCATTTCCTTCTTTCTATATGTGTATGTCTATCTATGTCTCCCTCTCCCATTTTTTGTTTTGTTTTTTTTCTCTCTTTCTCTCTCT